GAACGGAGTTTTGAGCTCAGCGTCTCATAGCGAGTGCAACGATATATCTCAGTGCTAATGTCCCGGCCGACCTGATGTCCTCTCTTGGCAATATTTCATAATCTAATTTAATTTCAAAAACAATAATTTGATAATTTAATTCGAAATATAAGTGAATTTTGACCCACCTGTCGTTGTTCTATCATGAGCACGTAGGTAATAGCAGGATTCAAACACATGCCATTGACGTCAACCTTCGTCTGTCCGAGCATTGTTACGATATTTGGATAGATCAGAAGAGGAACTAAAGCAGGGATAGCTTGGTCTCTATTGGAAGACATTGTCCAGATCTCTTGGAGATTTCCTACCCGAAAAACCTTTATAGCAAAGTGCTCCGGAAATTGAGGTAACCCATCAAGATTTAAAATGTGGCCACATTTATGCTGGCACTTATGTTGGTTTCAGAGTTGAGCAAAATTTAGCCACAACTGCACGTCAGGGTCAACTGGCCGTCGGGCCGATTTCAAAATTTCCACGCCTCTCCCCCTCTTGAGGGTTCTCTCTACATGACTTACCCCACTATAATCGGTCTTTGAGTCGGCTGCTCCTATGATCTCCCTTCATCACACCAGGGCAAGTGCTCTATTTCGCTTATTTCACTTTCGCTTCTATTGTGGGAATTCTGGAAAACTTGATTCCGAAACGATCACACCTTTCCTTCCCTACAACACCGTTCCCGAGTTTTTCGGTTTTTACCAGCATGACCCCCTGAAAGACTCATATACGACTCCCACTCCGTCAAGCCCTTACAAAACCAGAGGACCAAAATGCTATACCCCCTCCAATTGTTTCCAGGCAGCGTTACCTAGGAAATTCTCCTAGGATTCGACTGAGCCTTCTTCATTTTTCACAGCGCTTTCCACAATTCACAATTACTGCATGGAAAAAATCTTTCCGACTTGTAAAGCACAAAAAAGGCATCAAAGCACCTGCCGCTGATCAATCCCTTTTTGGGATGCGGCACGCGTGGCGTTTGAATGCGATGTGGCCTATACAATGACTTGCGGGGGCCAGCCGATGTACAAGTCAGTGTTTTTATCCTCCCAGACAAGTCTGGTACCAATTAACCGACCCCGGAGGGATGGAAGGCTTGGTTGGCCCGGGCGACTCACGACCCAGGATTTGATCCCCGGACCGCTCGCGTGGTAAGCGTGCCACTTGCCACTACACCACTCCGCCCTACTTCTAAAGCATATGTGTGGCAATGAAAGCTTGATTAAAAGCATTTGATCAGGGGTAAAGAGGGTCAGCGCAACTCACATGTGCCACCGTTTGTTCCACAGCCACGGTGGGGGCCGCACGGGACATTCGTCAAGCTTCAGAGGAAGTACCTAGGAAATTCTTGAAATCTCAAGAAGATAGACTGAAATCTTTCTACTAAAACAGTGGCAAATTGCGACTTACGCTATCACCGGAATTTTCTAGCACTTAAGCCGTTCAGGTTATGCACCCACGTGGCCTTCTGTCTACCTACCTTCCTCTTGTAATATGCGGTACCGCGGATCGCGAAGCGAGTGACGACGGTTGTTGCTTGGTAATTTCTGAGAGATCAACCTGTACGGAGCCCGTGTGATTACCACCATTGGAAGATAGCCTGGAACAGGGTAGTTCCATCAGTTCACTTTCAGATGGTATCACAGCAGATACCAGCTCCTGTCCAAACATTTAAAAACGACGGTTACACCCATAAGAATAAATGTTCTCATGGATTTGCATTCACACACCTGGCACTTCCCTGTACGAGAATTCCCGTACATATCAGCAGCATCGAAGCCGAGCTTGTAATAGTTGATCATTGTGTACGAAAGAAGACCCTGAATAGGTGGAAGCCTTTCAAAATGGGCATTGCTGGATTGTATAACAACTACTCAGCACTAAAGCTCAATTTTTAGAATCACTTTGGGTCAGAAATTTTTTCAGCAATTTTTTTTTCAGAAGATTCTGGTGTGGAAGCCCCTATTACTATTAGCCAGGAGATAAAACACGAATCAGATCTTGCAGAAAAGTCAAGCTTTTACATACCAATCCTAGACTTTGGTAAATAGGTACTGGATAAAATCGATAAAAAGTAGGGAAATTCGTATATCGGTCAGACATTGCAGCTTAATTGTATAATATGGTAAGGTAAATGCGACTTTCAAGAAAATAATCCTATGGAATTTCAGTATGGATCGGAGACAAAGTACGTGGCGAAATATACGCAAGAACGAATACAAGTATGCAATCACAAGCACAAAAGCGTTTATCGATCTCCTATCGATTTCATTACTTCCCATTGCAGATCAATCCATACGAGCTCTGATAGCAGAGCATAACTCTGTCGCGCCCTGGAGAGCGCTATTACGGTGAATAGATCGCGCAGAATTAAACAGTGTCCTTCGCCTATACTATTAGTTTTTTAAGTCAATTTCTCCAATAGAAAGGGAGCCTTGGTTGAGTATAGCGAGCCTACTTGGACCCTTCAACATGGTCAGCGCGATAACACATTCGGACATCAAGATCTTCCAGGATGGTCAAGCTTTTCATCCATCCAGACTGGTAAATGGTACTGATAAAACGATAAAAGTATGGAAATTTACATCGGCCAGCCTTGCAATTTATTGTATAGGCCAATGACGCTTTCAAAAACGCTAGAATTTCAGATGAAGATGGAACTTGTGGCGTATCGGGAGAGGTATCAATCTAATACCAAAATACTTAGCGATTTTCTATCGTTTCATTAGTTTACCTGAGCGTCAGACATCCAGACGAGCTGATAAGTGGAGAGACCAAGTTCGCTGCCGATATTCGGCCGCATATTCTTCCAGGTCACCACCAAAGCGGCTTCGGCTCGGAACGTTGACGCACCAGCGACTCCTTCTTAAACACTGCTCTTTGGAACTTATGCATTTAAAACCTTTAGTTCGATACGCTGAGTTTTGTGACCTTTTCAAGCCAGATCAAAGAGAAGTACTAAACAGACGATCATTCATGCAAAATCTCCTAAGGGTTGTAAAAACACTCATGATTAAAATTCAATTACAAAATATTTGAAAAGTCAACCAGAGATCAAGAGCATGGATTCGACGTTGACTTACGCTGGAGAGCCCTTTGAAGTGCATCGAGAAACTGCTCGGACTGATCATCACATCGGAAATGAGCTGGTTTACCGAGGCAAGGAGCACGTCCCGTCGAAGGATCTCGTACTGAAAGGAAAGCACCTAAGGACAGAATCTAAGAAAAAACCACACTCAGCACATCAAGCACATCACCTCGTACCGTTACTACCAGAAAAGTACTGAAGAAGCGGAGAACTGGAGGAGAGAACAATCAGAGAGCACGAGAAAAAAGAGATACGCATTGATTGTTCAAGAACGTGGAGAAAAACACTTGATCATGAAAAAACCAATCCATATCCAATTAAACTTCACTAGTGGATTTTCCAATTCTTCAATTTTTATCCCAATTTCGACCCAATTTTTGTCCCTTTATTATCCAATTCCCCACTTCACCAGATCAGCATTGTGTATGAACGCAGCTTTACAAGGCACGAGTACTTTTTAAGGTTGGGGCACTGTGAGACGACGAGTAACCTCTTAGGTTCCATTTTTCCATGAATACTCAAAATGTTAAAAATCATGAAAATTGTTACTTTTCAAAGCAGGATCCGCAAATTTTTGCTCTCGTCAACAGCTGAAAATGAATTTTGCGACTGCAGAAAGGAATGCTCACCAGTCTGTAACTGGGCTCCACGTCGAGTTTCCACTCGATAGAACACTCTGGAATCAGCACCTTGGCCACTTTGGATTCGTTGTCTGAAATGAAGTAGACGCTTGAAAAAAGGTGATTTTTTCATCGCATTAGAACGATCTTTGAAAATTAGAATCATTTAAAAAAAGGTCAATAGATACGGTACTAGGTACAGGGAAGGTTGATAGTTTCAAGCATGGAATTCGTTTGGTGAGCACGCAGTCTGCTGGAAATCGAAGAAGACCACTGAAGGTAATGCTGGGAAAAGCTCATTTTAAAGCAAATAAAATATAAAATTAGGAAGAATATGAGAAAAAGACGCTGACTTGCAGAGATAAGGTGCGATGACAGCTGGATCGCTTTGGGTGGGCCAATCGACATCCAAACCCAGCTGAAGAGTGGATGAATCGTCCGAGAAATACGCAAAACTGATGTAGCCATTAGTTGAGATCTGAATTGTCAGAGATTGATTCCTATTGCTAAATTAGCTTGTTGGTAGTCCATGGCAGGGTCAATTGTCTGTTTGCACTGTTCAAACGAGTAGATCGCATTTATGATTTTGGGAAGGTCTTTTTGGGTCATGTATGAGGTTAAAAAAGGTTAGCCATGTTTGGGGAAAGAAGTGTGAGTTGGATAAAAATTGAATTGGATTGTTGCTTCGTTAGAAATAGTTAGCCTTCCTCATCCCCCTTACCAACTGCCCGAATTTCAGAGGATCCCATATGAGAAGTGCAGGCCGAATAGCTGCTTATAGCATGTCAGAACTGCTCAATAGAGTACGACATGCGACGTGGGAATCAATGTTCCCATCGAAATTGAATCGATTTTCAAGTTTCCCACCCGAACCGACCTTCTCTAAGACAGCGTTCTCACGCTAACCCGCTGAAGAACATCACACTCTATTCGGACCGTGGTGCATAAGGGGAATCCTACATCGCCAAGGATCACATGGCATGCTTCCTTCCGGACGCCCACGCTTGTTGCTGAGTCAGTAGGGTAGTTCCAGCTCGCTGCGTAATAAAGCAAACATGGACGCGGCGAGCTTGCGATAAAAAACTGTTTCGAAATCGATAAGGACCACTTCTGCATGAAATCGATTTATCGGATCATTGGAGACAGTCAATAGTCACCTGCAGCAGTGGCCTAAAAACATGGAAGAGCCTTCTGGTTTCTTCGTAGAAGAATTACATTTTAGAGCCATCTTAAATCGAAACACACTAATAACGCTGCTTAGGCTAGGTGATGGGGAATTTTCTCAGATAAAGGGTTGTGCTGTTATGCTGTCTCCTCAATCATGTGGAACAAATAGCAAGCAAGTGAAAGTCAAATAAACGGTTTTATTGTAGATTTATTAGAGGTACGTCTCAGAACGGTCCCTCTTTTGTGCCAAGTTCTACGTCGGGGAACTGGTGGCTCCCAGATTGTCTGACGCCAACTCCGTCAATAATTCCTGCGGTACGGTACCGTAGCGGTGATCAAATCATCTCCATGAATAACTAAGGTTGTCCTTGGGATGAGATTCAATGTGAGTGCAAGATGCAGTAGGCAGAAACTGAGCGAAACGTGAGATTGAACCCGAGCTTTTCCGATGGTACTGTATCTTTGCCCTGACGCGCAAAATGTAATACATAGTGGTTCAACTTTGCAACAGCCAGTGTTTGAAGTGTAGCCCATCGAACGATTTTGCGGCCGTTTCGGATGTTTATTCAAAAATTTTATTTATCTAGTTATTCAACTTATTCATTTATTTATTTACCTCCACTATTTAATACCTTCATTACTTCTGAGAAATGTTACAGAGCAATGCAAACAACGCCCCTAACAAGAAACGTAGGAGAGCAAAAAGATCTTTTTCCGATGCAGATGCGCTGCACATAATTACGATCGCGAGTGTATTTGAAAGCAACTAAAACCTGAATTTGAGGAAGTGACAATTGTCTTACGTGCGAAACTTTATTATTGCCATACAGTTTTTCAAGGGTTTCCTTCTGCAAAAAAAAAACCTTGAAAATTGACTTGGCTCTTTAATGCGTCCTATACGACTTTTCAACTCTATGGCTTCGAACGGGCGAACGGGAATCGATTAAGATTGGTCCACGATTTTTGAAATAAGAAAAACTGAGAGAGAAAAGAAGGGAAAAGCCAGGAAGACTTTGTACTTCTTTGAACTTCTTTTTTCCTTGTTTACTAGGTTTGATGCTCCAGCCTGAACTTGCTACATAATTTCTTCAATCGAAGTCTTGATTTCAGCTTTCAATTGAACTCTTTAATTGAAAGCTCCCTAGAGACAGAAGCTATGAATATACAAAATACGGAATTAATTCATATTCGAATGCAGTATTAAGGCTCTAGGGCTTACCAAAGTGTAATTGTAGCGTCCACCATAGAATGGGAAGAAGTTGTGCAAGCGAATGTTCAGACCGTTCTGTCGCTGATTATCAGAAATGTAGCGATCGCCGAATTCTTCCCCATAGCGGACCAGGTTGCCTAGAAGAGATTAACTCAATCAGAAGCTATCTCAGACGGTAGGAGGTCGCAACAGTCGTTCACTTGTATGACCACGACCTTGTATGTACTAAATGGCAAAGGGAATCGAATAAATCGCAATCAAACGAGCAATCGATTGGCTTCACATGGTAATATGAGCGCTATAAAAGCCCATGAGTAAGCCCCATGTGCTGTAAGACATTGCAAGCAAGGCTTGCCGAATTGTACCAAGAAAAATGTCAACCAAAAAAAGAGCTACTCCGCCTTAGAAAAGCGACATAAAGTATGAATAGATCTGCAGTGATCAAGCCTTTTTGGGATGCGCCACGTATTCGTTTTCTGATCCGAATCGTACAGACATTTGAGTGCGATTTGCGTACAGTCTACAGAATAACTTGCAAGGGTTCGCAGAGATGTACAATTTACAAGAGCTTCACCAAAATAAACCCAGCACCAAGATATGCCATCAGATGTTCATTACTCTTGCTAAGCACCGCAGGCAGAGAAATGGCGACGGAGTTGTTCACCTGAGCCTGCAGAAAATTCTACTAGTCAAAATAAATGGGCTAAGAGAAAGGTATGCTTATTTGTTCACGAACTCATATAAGTTCTTTTAAAAATTCAGGATTTCCCTCAAAATCACCGGATCTCACCTTAACCAATTGTCCCGGCTGATTTGAAAGCTTTTTGAACCTTCTGGGAGTTTTAAGTTCACCTCAACTCATCATGATCTCGCAGAATAATCCCCTCTTAAAAGGCTAAAACTTGGTCCAATATTTGACACCTCGTACTCACTATCACTGAGGTTTATTGACACTTCGCTGGGCAAACACAATGGAAACGATCCAGGGGAACCCATGGAAACTCAATGGGCTTTTTCTATCAGTACCTTCATATTCTGTGAAACTGGCCGTGCTGCCAAAGCCAACGTCCTGAAACGGTTGCACTGGCTGGATCTGGAAAACAAAACCGTGACTAGTAGTGAAGGTAGGTCTACTAAATGGAAACGTACCTGTCTAATGAAGTTTTGCTGAGTCTTCTGTTGAGGGTTGTCGAGGTATTGAGCATTATTGGGCCATACAATGACTAGCAGCAGTAGTAAGCTGCTGCCGAACATGGCGAAAAGCTGACTGACTCAGGCAGAGGCCGCCAACGGGGACGTCTCTCCGTGTGTGCTGGCGGAGGTGAGTCATGCCCTGTGATACGACAGTCTCCAGCCCTTTCCCCATTATTGTTCCTGAATATTATAATTACAAGGAGAATCGCGTTCAAATCGAGCTGTGCGCTAGAAAACGCGTTACTGTTTATTCAATGCTACAACTCAACGCAAGAGGGAAATTTCATAATTCAGTGACATTTTCGAGGACTTAAAAAAT